AAGGTAGGTACCGGAGGGGGGGGGGTTGCATATATATATATATATATATAGGTATAAGCGTATATGATACATAGCTAACGACCTGAATATCCGCCTGTTTATCCTGCTATCCATCTGGATCGATCTACCCATCTGTCTATATCTATGTATCGATTGATCGATCTATCTACCTATCTACCTACCCATCTATGTTTCTATCTTTTGGTCTATCTATCTTCCTATCTATCTGTCTATCTGTCGGTGTGTCTGTCTGTCTGTCTATCTATCTATCTATCTATCTATTTGCCCACCTGCCGGCCTGCCTGCCTGCCTACCCACCTACCTGCCTGCTTCTCTCTGTGGCTGTTGGTCCTCTGTCTGTTTGCCTGTCTGTCTGTGTCTGTCTGCTCTTTGCGGGTGGATCTGTCTATCCATCTTTGCATCTGAGATGGACGACTCTCGCATTTTTCAGCAGGCCTAAATCCCTGAACCTTAAAGCCTTAAATCCTGAACCCCAAAACCCTTAAACCCTGAACTCTTAAACCCCAAATTCCCGAATCCCCAAATCCTAATCCCTAAAGTAGTTGAGGGTCAACCATCCCACTTTCGCCAAGGCTACGGGATGGAAGCCCTCACTGGCTTATATAGGGTCACAGGTTTAGGGAGCCTAGGGTACGGGGTTTCTGTCGGGTTTAGGGTTTCGGGGTCTGGAAGTTCAGAGTTTAGGAGTTCAGGGGTTTGGGGATTTGGCGGTGTTTCTGTAGGGTTTAAAGTTGTTTAGGCTTGAGGGTTTAAGGGTTTAGGATGTTGGCAAGTGTGGGGTTTCTGTAGGATCTCGCCTGCTTCTTCACACAAAGAGATATACTAATATGGGAGTCTCCGAAACAAGGGGTACCTTCTTTGGGGTCCTTATAATCAGGATCCTAATGTTTAGGGTGCTATTTTAGGCCCCCCCCCTATTTTCGGACCCCCCCTCCCATATGCAGTTCCCAAACGTACCCGCATCAAGCCAAACAAACACTCCCGGCTTTCTCGACACTTTGCTACGCGATGTAAGCCCAACTTCTGAAGCCTAAAGTCTTTGTCCGCAACCCTTTAAACTAAGGTAGCAAATAACCCCGATGTACTCTTAAGTACATCTATATACCATCTATATACCATGATCCATAACATATCTATATATATATATATCATATTATACTATATTTATATTATATCAATATTATACTATATTTACATTATATCATATTGTACTATATTTAATATATTATACACATAACCTAAGCATACCCCTACTACCTCTACCAGAGACAAGAGGAGACCCCACCATCCCTCCAAGGAGACGCGCTAGTCTTCCGTGGCGAGACTGCAATTGACGGACATTGAGGGTCTAGGGGGGGAAGGGTTTAGGGTTTAGGGGTGAAGGGTTTGTGGTGTAGGGTTTAGGGATAGGTTTTTGGGGTTTACGGAACAGGGTTTAGGCTTGCGGTTTTCTGGCAAAGCCTTACACGGCCAGAGGCCCAGTGACGCTGGGAGGACGGGTGGCAGGTGTTACGACCGTAGGTTCAGGGAGGGGTCCTCGGTATACGAGTGGTCTGAAATGCTCTTATGTAGAGAACGATGCACAAGCTCAAGGGCTGCAGTCACTCTACAATAGCCGTACGAAGCCGAAAACCCTAACACAACTCTGTCTGTCACATCTTTATGATATCCCGACAGAAAATTTGGCGAGAGCTTTACAGCTATTATTGGGTCATTGCGTGACTATGTTACTCTATATAAATCTGTATGCCTCTGCATTCTAGAAACCACATGCCGAACGCTGCGATTGAAGCGTAGAGAGCTAAGCTTGGTATTGTTGTTACTTTGTCACGGGATGTTGTCAGTTTGTGATGGATGTGGTTCGTAAATTGCGGTGTTCGGATTGGTGATTAGGGTTCAGGTTGTACCCTAGAATATCCTAAAACCTTCCAAAACCCCCGCAATAACCGAATTCGTGGTCGGAGGTACAGCCAGAAGCAAACGTGGACCGTCTACCCCGAGAGCATGCCCCGTGTTACTTATATACAAGGCTAGGAGAATCGCTAGCCCGACAGATGTCTTAAGTCATGTTGGATCTTAACTCTCATATGTATATATATATATATATATTATGTATGTATAGCCTCACCCCTACACTTCTGCATAAAGGGATACTCCGTGCATACATATATATATATATATGTATGTATACGCATACGTGCGGACATACAATGAACCACAATATACATTTGAAGCACTATGCTGACCAAAGTCTCATAAATCCGAAAAATGGGGAAGGCTTCCGATACCTGCGCGGCATGTTCCGAGCACTTCCAACAGCCCGGAGCTCAGAGTATAGAGGAGGATGTTCAGTAGTATCCTTTCTTTCTTTTTTTTGGTGTTGGTTCCTCGTATAGTATAACTAACCCAAAAAAGTATATACTTTTTCCCAGTGGGTTACTGAACAGCTTAGTAGAGGAGCCGACGACAGATGCATAGGGCTTGGGCGGGTACAGCACTCAGAATTTATATACCCGTGGCTCCAATGACTGTACCTGTTGAAAGGTCATTTTGCCTTGCAAACAATGGGTTATATCCTGCTTTTTGGTAGGGTTCGGGGCTACATGTCGGGATTGGGAATTGGAATTTTAGGGCTTCAAGATTCCACAGGACTGGGGATAGATAAACGGATTTCCCTAAGGGTCCATGTACCC